GGTTCAGCATCAACACCCATTCTGATTCAGTGTTTCAACCCTTCAGTATTACCGCCACAGGCTCTACACTGATTCAGTAAGACGGCACCCAAGTTCATGACATTCTGGGATTTTTCTTCATGAATTTAAGGCTCAGCAATGAGAAGCTGGTATGGCACACAACTGACGCTGATTCAAGCAGACCTTGCTTGCTACTCTGTCTTCTACTGGAAATCATACCTAATCTCTTTCAATTTCTCTTGGGACACAAATAAACCCAGCATATTTGCTCTCAACTTCTGATAATCTGTGAAGAACCTAGATTTCAGTGATCAGAGAACAAATCCTGCATCACCAATGGTATTAAAAATCTGTCTCGGCTTCAGTTAAGCAACAAAAAAATCGTACTGTGTGCATACAGGTACTTACTGGTGTGCAGACAACTATCTCTGCCCCCTCCTGGAGGGCTTTGGCTTGCTCCCACATGCTTCCTCCTCCATATACAGCTACGGAGCGCAGGTTATATGCCTTACCAAAGCGCTTACATTCAGAATGGATCTGAGAATTTTAAACAAAGCACATCACAGTTCACGTTAGAGAGATCTCAGAAAACATACTTACCTTGGAAATACAGTCCAGCTCCTGAAATCCACTTTTCAGCTAATAACTTAGTGAAATTATTCAGAAATCCTCAGGGCTGAATACTTCAATACTTGTGGATAATTTCCAACAATTTATTTGGGAAACCTATTTAGGCATCCAATTGTAATTTAACCTGCAGGCTCTATCCTTTTACACATACAATTTGTGGCAATGCATCCACAGCATTCTTAATGCTTAGGAATAATACGGGAGCACTGTGCAAAAGTTAACAATTTCAGATTTGTCATGATCCTTTAACAAAAACAGGTGTAAGAGAGAACTGTGAGCTTACATTGGAGGCATGCTACTAATGCACAGAGTAGTTTTTTCAAATAATTTACTGAGGTTCTCTGATAATTTCTGCCCAGAATTTTGTCATCTTCTATGAGAACACTGTATGGCACATATATGCTTGCTATACACCTACCTGTTGGCAAAGCTCTCTGGTCGGGCATACGATCACTGCAATGGGACCATCCCCTGGTTCAAGCTCTTTTTGATCCATGATGTGAATCAACATTGGCCAGATGAAGGCTGCTGTTTTTCCACTTCCAGTCTTAGCTATCCCAATCATATCTCTGCCACTTAGTGCAACTGGAACACCCTAAAAATAAGGAGATTCTAAACCCATATTATGCCTACCATAGCATATTCTTGTGCTAGATATTACATGAAAACTCAGATAACAAGAGAAAAGCACATTACAGAGGACTCGTAGCAACATACGTTGATGCTTACACAGTTTTATTGCCAAGTTCAGATCTGAATTACTTTGTTTTAAGGGCTGGAAGCAGCCCTTAAAAGTTATCATGTTACGACTGTTGGTGTCCTATATGAAATCAATGTTTGGGCACAGTAAAACATCCCAAGGATACGTTTACATGTCCACAAATGCATCTTGTCCAGCTGTAAGAACGGTAAAAACAAATTCTCTGAGACTATTCTTTCTGTAACCATTCTGAGTGCTGAAGTCCTCAGTTCATCCCTACTGTTGCTATAAGGACCTCTCAACCACAGTTTTTTTTACAAACAGTATGGACTAAGGTCCTAGTACACATCCCTTGGACACAGCACCATGTCATTTTTTACACTTCAAGAAAAGCCTCTGAAGTGGTGTGGTCATAATCACATTATTGATAACCTTAATTACTTATGGTAATCAATCTACATATGCAGTAGAATCCCTTTTGCTTGCACAGCTCTCCAAGGAATGACCAGTTAAATGGTCCAGCTCATGGGACATTTATCCTAACTGCCAAAAGAAATTAAAAAATGCCTTGTTGCATATCTCTTCTAGTTACAAGACATTCAAGTATAAGCTGTTTAAAGGAATAAAGTTGTCAATGTATGGCTCTTTACTTAGCTACTGCTATGGTTATTTTTAATACAATTTCTAAACACATATAAAAAACCTTTCATACATTTCTATAAGCAAGAGATGTCACATGTACGTTCTTCAGTCTTCACTAAGAGACAAATGAAGAAAAGTATATGGATTTATTTACAGTGGTCATTTAACAAGAAAAAAAGTGGGTAAACTTCTATTTAAAAAATATCAAAGCTATTTTCCTAGAAAAATACAAATTATTCTTCTCCATGACAGCTCTATATAGGAAACTAGAACGGTATACATCCTCATATGCACTAGGGACCTTTGCATGTGTTCTATTAGTTCTCTTTAGATGTTAGAGAAGTAACAACACTCACCTGACACTGTATAGGAGTGGGCTGGGTATACTCGGATTTCCTAATTTGATGCATAAGTTGCTCATCAAACCCAAAATGAGCAAAACTACTGCCAGGCCTCGGAGGAGCAGCACCGGAGACCTTAGAAACAGAAACATATCTTTGTTCATGAACAGTAAGAGAAAAACAAAGAGCAATCTGTACCAAAATGAAAAAAAGTGTGTCTCTACCTCCAAAACTGCTTTTTATTTTTTGAATAGACATAAGTTTAACTAGGTGCAAATTCCAGATGTGTTGTGTAAATAGGACTTTCAGGTATAAAAATGTAGATAAATTGTCAATCAACGTAAGCTACTAAACATCATACCTACCCCCTTGTATAATTGGTCTCCTTCTTCCCCAAATAATTCCCTTCATAGAAAGTCACCACACTAACATGTCACAAATGGCGAAGAACTAATTCTTGCATATAGTATTTCCAGTTTCGATTCTTAGTTCTTTACTCCAAGTGCAACCATGCAACTGGCAATCTTGGGTGCCCACTTTGACAAGTCCAGAGAAGACTTTCAAGAACTGCTGAGGAAAACCAAGCTCCCTTAAATCAAAGTCACTGAAGGTATCCAAGAGGCTTGGTATTCAAAAGCTGGAGTTCCCTGTGAAAATCTTCATGAAAACTACTAAGGCAGTCCAAAAAAATGGGAGTAAGAAGATCCTAGGAGGACAGTTTTGTGACCAGCTTACCCGGAGATTTAGCTTATGACGTAACTCCACCACTTGCTGCGGGGTGAGACTGGTGATCTCCTCATGCTCATCATAGAAGTTTTTCTCAAACGGTGGATATTCAATCTGCAAGGGTGATTACTCGGTTAGTCCAGGACTCAAGATTCCTCCCTGTACACTTAGTTTTGGAGGGAAAGTGTCCTTTTGAGAGAAAAAGTTCTTAATTATCTGCAAGAACATTAGTTTAATATGAAGTCATTTGAAGGATCTTTAGTATGACTCAAGTGGCACAGCACTGAAATATTACCTGCCAACATCGATGCACGGGGACAGAAGCATATTTCTGCAGCCTCCTCCTAGAGAAACTGATGCCTTACGGTCTAGACAAGTGGTCTGTGCGGTGGGGGGGGAACCGGCTGACAGGCTGCACCCAGAGGGTGGTGGTAAATAGCTCCTTTTCAAACTGGCAACCTGTCACAAGTGGGGTCCCCCAGGGATCGATATTGGGCTCAACGCTGTTTAGTATCTTCATGAGGGATCTGGATGATGGGATCAATTGTACCCTGATGAAGTTTGCTGATAACACCAAACTGAGTGGGGAAGTGGACACTTCAGAAGGAAGAGCCACCCTGCAGGAAGACCTGGATAGGCTGGAGGAGGGGGCTAACAAGAACCTTATGAAGTTCAACAAGGACAAGTGTAAGGTCTTGCACCTGGGAAAACATAATCCAGGAGTGCAGCACAGGCTGGGATCTACCCAGCTGGGGAGCAGCTCTGTGGAAAGGGACCTGGTGGACAAGCAGCTCAATATGAGTGAACAGTGTGCTGCTGCGGCAAAGAAAGCCAACAGGGTGCTGGGCTGCATCACCAAGGACATCACCAGCAGAGATAAGGAAGTCACCAACCCACTCTACTCAGCGCTTGTCAGGCCACACGTGGAATACTGTGTTCAGTTTTGGTCCCTGCTGTGCAAAAAAGATGTGGACAGGCTGAAGAGGGTCCAGAGAAGGGCCACAAAGATGATCAAAGGACTGGGAAGCCTGCCGTATGAGGAAAGGTTGAGAGAACTGGGTTTGTTCAGCCTTGAGAAAAGAAGGCTTATGGGAAACCTCATCACCATGTTCCAGTATTTAAAGGGTGGCTACAGAGAAGATAGAGACTCCCTTTTTACAGGGAGTCACATGGAAAAGACGAGGGGTAATGGGTACAAGTTACTCCTGGGGAGATTCCGATTGGACAGAAGAGGAAAATTTTTCACAATGAGAACAATCTGCCATTGGAATAATCTCCCCAAGGAAGTGGTGGATTCCCCATCATTGGGCACTTTTAAGATTCAGCTGGACAGGATGCTGGGCCATCTTGTCTAGACCGTGCTTTTGCCAAGAAAGGTTGGACCAATGATCCTTGAGGTGTCTTCCAACCTGGTATTCTACAATTTCAATCTACTTCTTAGCTCCTGCTTTCTAGAATGCCTCAGACAGAACAGAATGGAATAAACTTCCTTCCTACCTCTGAATGGTCAATAGGTGGAAGAGGATCAATGATTTTTTTGGACGGTGCAATTGGATTCCCATCACTATCATACTCCAGGTTATCCTCTTCCTCTTCTTGGACCACACCAGCAGTGGGGTTTTCAGCCATGTAGCGAAAATAAGCTTCCTGCAGCAAAACATATCAGTAAAATCACATACGATAGGATGCAAAAATACTATTACATTTGTTTAAATGATGCATATGCTAGATGGCTGTTTGCTTTCACACCCGCCATTGAGGAAAAAAAACCTGTTCACTAGAACTGATTCTTCTAATAAATAACAACAGTTACGCCCAGAAGGACAATAAGTACAAACAAAGAAAACAACTAAAGTGTCAGTTAGACCACAAAATGCTTTTAAAAAACAAACAACTTCTCTTACATGTCTGCTTAACAACTCCTGCTACGAAGACTCGTTATGCTTTAACAATAGAAAAATCTATTCTTATTTCCACATGGACAAAGTACAAATGCTGCAGGTTTTTAAACAAAGAACACGATGTTACTAAGCATATGTTTACATTTTTTTAAACACACTATGCCAAAAATAGTTTCTCCACTTCCCCTAACTAGACTCTAAGAAATGAAAATATATCTATTTTTCATTAAGAGAGTCAACAGCAAACGGGAAAGAAACTATTTCAGAAGTCCTTCAAGACAAGCCCAAGTTAGAAGTCACTGTCACCACTGCCACATGCCATCCTTACAGCTCACAAATATGTACGTGTCTCACAGAATCTCACTGGCGCACCAAGACACTCTCGTGGAGAAAACACCAGTCTCACTTGACTTTCAAGCAAATATTTAAGATCAGGTTTTTAAAGCAAGGTTCAATTACAAATAAATGTATACACTCATCTGGCTTTTTCATTTGCATGGCCAATTATCACTCAGTCACATAGATATGCATACGATACACCTGAACAACAGCTGTCTCCAAGTGTAAGTCACCTTTGCTCAAACTTCAGCACAACTACACTCCCAAAATTGGAAGCAAAGGCCTAGAGGCCAGACAATCCTTCCATGCTCTGCATTACTGCGAGTAACACAATAGTTATTAATTACAACTTAGTAGTAAGGTACATTTTGAAATGAAGTCTTTCCTCTTTATTATTTCTGTTACAGTGATGCTTAATCAGAACTGGAGCTCCTCTGAAAATAAAGAGCAAAAAGCCTGATTCTTGCCCTTAACAGACATGAAATTTCACTGCAAACAGCCTCCACAGTTTAACAGTCTCTCACTGGTGCTCCACGTTAGTTGATTCTCCTAATTTCAAATTTGATGAGACCCTCAGATACTGAAAAACCTGTACAGGAAGTTGAAATTCAAATTGACTGAAAAAAAATCTTCTTAAATGGAGTAAAAGAGAATGAAATGGTCTCCTAATAGTCTTCCTTTTTTTAGTGAAACACCTAGAAGGGTAGAGGCAGCAGGGTAAC